AATTTGGGTAACTCGGGAACTGAGAAAGCTGGGAACCTGGGATTTCAAGGGAATGTTCCCTATCCAAGTGTAACGTGGATAATTTACTTCCCGAAATTCGAGGACCAGTATGTGCAAGAGGTTTCTAGCTAGCGGAATTTCGAATGATCTTATTGCAACACGAAACACTGCAAAAACGCATAATCGCACGCGCCCGTCCAGTGCGCATCGCCAACGATTTTGTTGTTAATGCCAGGCGGTTGGCATAGCTGATATGATGGATACAAAAGGGAGTCTGAGATAAAAGCTCAACCCCGAGCGGGTTAAACAACCGCATAAGACCTCTTTTTCCCCATTTACCAGTAAGGCTGGAGTTTCAGGGCTCTGTTCTGGTTCCGCTCGCCCAGTTTTTGTCTTCGAACATTGGTACAGCCTACGCTTCCCGGAAATCATCCTCTCCAAATCAGTAAATCATCAAAGCGACCTCGAACTCCCGGGTTCTTTGACTGGCCTTATGCTGATTCTCTTACCACTATTTCGAAAATCAAGTTTGTTTTCTTGGCTTACTCGTTGTATAATAAAAGCTTCTTGCTAGTCAGCGCGCCACAAACGACCTCCAAGCACACATGAATATCGTATCTTTACTCTTCCATGGTTCACGAAATCCTTTCCCGCCGAAGAAATTTGCATATTTTTTTCGAGGGCCCGCACGCGAGGTCTAGGCGCGTATGAGCAAAGATTTTAAAACGGGAGGACGACAGACGGATAGGAATATTTCCCCAAAATTTCGGCTTTCCAGCTTCCCTTGTTGATGAATTGAAAGTAGGTAACAAAGTTTGCTCGCTTCCGAGCGCACATACACACACTGACGACCTCCCGACAATATGCGTTTTTGCTCGCTGTAGCAGCGCTATTGCGCTGCACAGCAAAACTGCATGCTTCAAAAGTTTCAGCTTTTTATTTGCAAAATTCCAGAAGTGGGCATCCAAGCTTTTGTATTTTTCAAGGTGTACTTTTATGTTTGTATCGGTACTTGTGCTGCAAATGCGAAAAAACACAAGCGCATATTCTCACCGTGCTGCATTTTTCGTAGTTTTTGCAACGCACGCAGAGCACGCTAAGGCAAAAGCAGTGAGAAAGATAACCTGCTTGCTTGTATTTCCAGGAAAAAGTTGTTCTTTTTGGCTTCGTAATCAAAGGCTGTTCGAGAAAGTATATGCAATACACCATTTTGATTTTCATCCTGAAAACCAATATGCAGAAATGGCATTTTTTCGAGTTTTGCCAATAGCTATTTTCCTTCGAAGACCAGAAGAAACTTTTCGAAACCTGCCTAAATGTTAACTAGCATTCAGGATATTTTAAGTGGACTACTGAAATAGCGGTTATTTTTAGCAGCAACTGAAGACAAAGTTCTCACGATTTTTCCAGCACTAAGAGCATGCTCACAAAATCTGGCTTTTTAAAAAATCTCCTTTATAGACTTATAGAATTTTTACCTCTTGAATGTCAAAAAATTTTGCGTCAATACCACCAAATATTCGAAAATGAATGCGTGCGTTTTCTCCCTCATCTAGATCACGGGATATGATAGTCCCAATCGTTGTGCCAGCCGGACTATTTTCAGCAACCCATAAGTCGTACTGCGATGACTCAAATTGTGGAGCATTGTCGTTCACATCAGTAATAACCACTGATACGGTGCAAAAAGATGAGAAGGATGGGCTACCGCGATCTTGAGCCGTTATCGTTAACAAATACCTTGAAAATACAATGCGTCTTTAAACCGGAAACATAATTGGAGGTCAAAATCAGAACACAGTAAACTCTGAACGCAGATTTCAGATTAAACGTGCACTGACAATGGATTAAACCCTCAAAATATCAAGCTCCTAGTCTGTTCTTTCTAGGGGTATAAAACTACACGGATTTGGACTTGAGATACATTGAGTTGATTTCTGACTTGTGGCAATTCACCGCTTAGAACTTTTTTCTAAATTTCGGAAAATTTCCGGTCCTCGAACTGTAAAATTTGCCCAAATTCCAACCTGAACTGAAAGGCCGGGGAAGGCGAAAGTGCCAGGCGTGGTCAGAGTTAATTTTGAGATTTGACTCTGTAAACGATTGGGAAGTGGATCCCAACCTTCAATTTTGCTACTTTGATTTTAAAGGCACAGAATTTGTTAAATTTGAACTTGTGACCAGAGATTGGCATGCATGCAACCTGAAAGTTGATTTCGGATCAGTTTCCTCATCTGTAGCTTTGACCCCATTTAGATCAATGTCCTCAAAATGGTACGTTTGTGTTTTTTTGAATCCAGGGGTTGAAAGATTTACCCGAATTTGGATTTTTAGTCAAAAGTCTAGACGACCTTTCGCCTCAAATACAAATTCGATTTGAAATTTAAAGTAAATTGCGTTGTATGGGGGTCGGTAACTTTTTTGTCAAAACTTCAGCTTCACAGTTTGCGCAATTTCGGAGTTAAAGTTTGCAACTGGACAAGGAGACGCACTTGCCTATTTGCTTTAAAACATATATGCATGCGTCGTCCCACTTTAATGCGTTGTTGTTGTATCACTAGCATTAAATGCAGTTGAGTATCATTAAATTTTTCATTTTAGATTTACTTGGGAGTTATTCATTCAATTTAGCTATTTGTCTCTTAAATTATATAAAATCTTCAGGCGGTATTGATTCATCAGGAAGAAATTTTAAAGCTCGAAATTTTTAAGTGCAGGACACGACTAACTTTGGAATCAATTCACGATCTAGATTACTGATTACTCGCAGCGTACCAGATGACCGATCCAACTTAAACGCAGCACTATCACCATCCTGCTCCATCAGATAATAGTCAATAAGTGCGTTATCTCCCTCATCTACATCAGTAGCTGTTATTTGTATGAACGATGTTCCAATCGGTGTATCCTCTGCTATTGTTACCGTATAGTTTTCTGACGTAAATTCTGGAGCATTATCGTTCACTGGAAAAATGATCAGTTATTCACAAAATGGGAGAAAATGAGAACGAATCAAAGAATAATTCACCAATTTCAAGTTAAACAAACATTCGCCTCCCGTATGAGTACAGCAGCTACATTTTCTGGGATAAATAAATATAAATTACAGATGGCTTACATACGTAATGCATGGGTGTGGAAACGTGGTCACTGATGAAAGTTTGAGTGTGGGCGAAAAATAGTGCAGTTTTCGGTATGCTCCGTTTGTAGTGATACCTGCATTTTTCTTTCAGCAATAAATAAACAGTACTGTGCTGGGAGTTTATTTTTTGATAAAGTGTATCAGCTGGGATTTTTTTTAGGTACGGACATCATTATTTAAAAGCTGTTGTCGCAAAATGCATTTTCTGGTTGAAAGCTTTTGAAAACGGCGATTAAAATTTTCAGCAATTTCCAATTTGTGGCTAAGGGCGTTGGATGTAGGAAAAGCGGTAGAGTTGGTTGGAGAGGGAAGAACAAACGAGACAAGCAGGATAAGGTGTGTACGGCAGCCGCCCGCAACACTCCATGAAATTGCATTACCCATTTTGGCTGGATTAATTAAGGGTTTACATGAAAGGATCGGAAGCGTGTTTTATGATGACTCATTGATCCTTGTACACTTTTTTAAATGTATACATCAAGCAAATGCGCCTAAAAAGATAGATTTAGAGAGATATGCTGATACTAAATGCTGTCTGTGAATGATCATTTTAGGCAGCTATCGTATGGTCGCGCAACTCGACCTTAGCATATATATTACAAACACAAAAGTACCCACACAATCTGCCTTTTGCACTTTAGTAGCTGTTTGTTATTTATAAAAAGCGAGTATCATACCGCTATGCCCTCTACGTTCCCCCCACACAAAATCAGCAATACGTAAACGCAGCTTTTTTTTGCTCGGTTGTCCGTATTTATTGTTCCCCTGTGTAAGTTTTACTTACTTCCGAATTTGAACGCCCCTTAAAAACATTTAAGTGGCGTAAATCAATTTCAGCGCATACTGCTTTTCATTCCAAATTTTGTCTACTTCATTATTCAATTTTTTATCAAGTCTGAACTGATTACTGGAAACTTACCGTCATCCACAATAACTTCCAGAAGTGTGCTCGAGCTAAGTGGACTAGCCGCTTGATCACTGACGGTAACGTTCAGCACATAACTATTTTGTTCTTCACGATCAAGCTCCTTAGCAACCACTATTAAGCCGGTGTGCTCATTTATAGTAAATTCTTTACTGTCTGAAATAAGAATATTTTCTGACTTAAATGAACTTTCCAGATAAAAATATGTCCCAGCAGACCGAAAATTAAGTTCCACAATGACTCAAATACCGTTCATCAAAAAGTTGCTTCTAACTAGAGTATACAGTGATAATTACCCCCATCTCAAAAAGCGATTCAGCGAAATTTTGAATTGGTATTTAAATGCTGAAAAACTTTCGAAATATTTCCACGGCTTTCTTGGAAAGCTTAGTTCCTAAAGCCGCGAAGAATGCAAAAACAGTTCATGGTGAGATGATGTTTATACATAGTTGTGCTTGTATGTGTGTGATTGCTTGAGTTAATTGTGTTCACTAAATATTTGACAAGCATTGAATACTTGACAAAATGTGGTTTAACTCTATACTTATTTATGGGACTGTGACCAAAATCAATTTTCTATTTGCTTGGCATTTATGACTCTTTAATCTTTGTGGATATGAAATTTGAGGGTCTGGCAGCTTATGATTCAAGACAGTCAGTGAAGGAATAGGCAAACACTGAAACGTTGAGGTGTGAATATTACTACATAATGGAGAAAATACTGATATGAAATGGACATTGTGCGACTATCTTTAGATGCGGCATGCGCATTGTATTTTTTGCTAGTTGGTCTACTTTAAGCAGTAGTAGTTTTTTTTTTTTTTTTTTTTTTTTTTCGAGCAAAAATTGAATGAGCAGCTGCTCCGCTTTCTACTTTTACATTAAGCCGGTCATTTTGCTGCAAGAGGGCACATTTACGCAGTAATGGTGTAGCTGGACGTGTCACAAATTTTTTTTTGCCAGAAATGTAAATAAATTTTTTGAGCAGTAATGGCGTTTTGACATTCTAAATTCGTACATTGGAAGTCCCTTTCTTATAGCAAATTTCTCCCTCATCAAACAAAAAGCTTGGTTGTGCTAGTGTGCTATGCTGATTTAAAAACGCCTGAAACACTTACAACAATTATCTTAACGAATTTATATCAAAACATTCACCAATTGTGTAGGTGAGTTTGGCATTCATATGTCTGTCGTAGTCCTCGGCTCTCATGTGCATTACTTCAGAACCAACAGGGACATTTTCCAGGACGTGCACCGTAAATGGATGCAACAAAAATACCGGAGCTGTGTTGACGTCGGTCACAGTAATGATTACTGTGCAAGTGCCTTTCAAACCACCATGATCTGTTGCCGATATCACCACACGCAACACATCGTCCGTGCGTCCAATTTCACCGGATAGTGATAATACTGCTCCCTATGGATAGTGATAACATTCATTTTCTTTTTTGGAGAATTCCTTGCAATTTTCTGAACCTGGGTTTTTCTTCGAGAGTTTTATTTACTAATCCCGCCACCTCGAAACTTTTCAATTTTAAGATAAGCAATAAAATGTTGTAAAATAAATAAAACTGCAAAGCAACCTGTTCAGCTGAATAAACTAGGGAGAAGATCCCTTTGTCTGACTTTTCGATACGATACACAATTTTCTGCTCACTGTCCCGATCAATGGCTTTTACATTGATGAGTTGTGTTCCACGAGCGGTATTTTCGGGTATAGTAACGTTATAAATGTCCGGCTCAAAATACGGTGTGTTATCATTGATATCTCGTATTGTTATAGTTATTAATAGAGTGTCCGATAGCGGCGGATCACCACCATCATCAGCTCTCACCTGTAACAGAGGTTTCTCCAATCTTTTTTAAATATGCGTATTAAATCACGATACTTTTATTTTACAAAGTAATGTTTCACGAGCAAGCTACTGCCCACACGCATGACGCAAGCATGCGCGACAGTAAATTTGAAATCTTTAACTCCTGCATGGACAGGGAATGCCATTGCATTGTCCCCGCCAGCCACATTTGTTGGCTGCTGAAATCGTTTTCTCGCCAAAAAACCCACATATTTCTTAAAAGGCCCATAAATGTATGTTTTAAAACGGGCGACACGTTGAGTGGGCATATGCTTCCAAAATTTCAGCCTTTGAATTCTCCATTTCGCTTAAGTTGAAGAGCAATAAGAAACAAAACTTTAGCAATTTACAGACTGCCATATTCACTAACAACACCTGTTTTCGAAAGGTAGCACGAAGTCAACACTAACTTCCAAAGAAAAATAATTCCCGGATCCACAACTGTGGCTGAATCATATGGCAAAGGAACTTTTAATTGTTACAGAGAAGAGGGGGCTGTAAACTTTAACTCACTTTGAGCACGTATTTTTCCCTGGTTTCTCTATCCAATTTAGTTACTGTTGTAACTGCTCCTGTTGTAGCATCAATTTGAAAGGTTTCTTTGCTATCATTATCCGCTTCCAGCGAGTAAGTGATTAAGCCATTCGCGCCACTGTCTTCGTCAACAGCGAATGCTCGAGTTACTTCATAACCAATCGGTACGTTTTCTTCCACAAATAACTCTTGTCGTGAGGCAAAGAAACGAGGTTTCTTAAAAGAAAAGTCAATTCAGCTGTTACGAAGGACAGCAACGCGTTCAGGAAAATCGCAGCTACGTGCCAGCATTCAACTACGATTACAATTAATAGCATACGTGATCGTTGATGTCGATGATGTTCACAAGACAGTTGACTGTTGTGGACTGAGCTGGTTGCCCGGAATCTTTCGCTCTTAGAAGCAAAGTAACTGGATTCGAACGGGAATCCAATTTCCGATGCAGTTTCACTAATCCATTATCATAATCAATGGAAAAACCATTTACCCTGGAGGCGACAATGCTATAGTGCACCTTACCTACAAAAAAATCAAAAGTTTCTCACTGAAACTACATGCATTTATAAAATAATAATAACACATGAAACCCTATTTTTGACCATTTAGTAAAAAAAATTTTTTTTCTGGGTTGTATGTGTCAGGCAATTAGCACTGTTATGCGTTTTTGCGATGAACTCCTTTGTACTCACAGCTGGTGAATGCTTCAGAAGATACGGGAGTTACCTCGGCTATGAGACCTTTTGATCCACAGCTGCATGATACGAACCGCAACTTTAGACTCACTGCTTACATCATTCTGAAGTCACTACAATTCGAAATAGGTTTCATAATTTTACTTCAGATTATTTAGCACGCATCGCGCTGCGAACTAAATCCAGGATTTATAAGTTTGTAGCCCAGCGCAGGTACAGAAACGACGGAATTTTCTGTTTGATTACCACTCGTTTATAAAACCTGAACGAAAAGCCTAGAATTTAGTCCGTTTTGTTTTGAAAATATAAAATTAGCTCAGATATGTGTCCAAGGTCGCAAGCCAGGAAATTATGTACTTACAAAAGTTAATTTTAGGACACTCAACTTGCACTGGGCGACATTCCTACTATTTAGCTTTATCTGTTTACACTTTACAAAATTATCTCGAATAAGCTTAAGCTCACAGGTCAGGGAATCGAAGGAGAGGAGAACTGATTTCAGGTCTGTAACCTGGTCCGCAAAATAATTTAAAAACGCGGAAT